AATTCAGATAATATGAGTGACGAAATTGATGAAAGAGATTTAATAAAACAAGACATTATTTATAACATTGCAATAGCTAAAGTTATATTAGAGTCTCACAAAAAAGAGCGCGACAGCTGTTCAAATCATGGTGAATCGTGTCATAACGAGCATCAAGACATAGGTTTAAAATTACCCCAGATAAAAAAAGCTAGATTTGATGGTGCCTATTTCCGTTAGCTAGAGTTTCGGGATACTTTTGAAAATTTAATTCACAACAACAGTAAAGTCTTAACTATTAGTAAATTACGTTATCTTAATTTTTATTTACAAGGCGACGCAGCACGCATAATTTCAAACCTAGAAGTTTCCCCCGCAAACCATGCTGATGCCTGGAAGTTGCTTTGCAGCCGTTATAACAATAAACGCAATTTAATAAACCATCACTTTAACTCATTATTTAGTGTGAAGCCACTTCCACGCGAATCGGAAAGATCTTTGTGATTTTTAGTCGTTCCTGTTACAAAAAATTTACGCGCTCTAGCTAGCCTTGGTCAACCAACAGACAAATGGGATGTGCTTGTTATTTTTATGTTATCAACAAAATTGGACAGTGTTACATTAAAGAAATGGGACGAACACTGAAATAATTTAGAAGGTGATGTGCCAACTCTAAAGAATTTTCAAAGTTTTTAATAGATCGTGCGGACGTTTTTGAGGCTTTGAATCGTAATAACAATAGACCTGATGGTAATTCAGCAAAAAGTTTTACGTTAGTTCAAAAAAAATATCAGGTACAAAATATGTGTATAGGAAAAAGACCCATACCAACCGATATTTAAATGGTGAATCGCACCATCATCCATCACAGTTAGCTATCGTAGGAAAATGTTTGTTTCAGAGAGCACGAGGGATCTGTGACAGAAAACATCTGGCCGCCGAGTATCAGCGTGTCGAGCAAGTATTGCAAGACAATAAGCTTCGGGTCCCGTACCTACGTCACAGTGAACGAGTGAAGCCGGCCACAGTCAAGCGAGTGCCTGCTGTACAGCATGCCATATGTCAGAGGTGTCATTGACAAGATTGCTACATCTGGAAGCGTGCTTCCATTAAAACATACTTCAACTTCACCGCCGAAGAAGATTAGTCGGACGGCAGGTAATTAATTATGACGATGTAAATAATGCTCTATCGAAATTAGTATATTGGTTTAATGCCAACAATATGCTCTTAAACGGAAATAAGACAAAGTGTATTAAATTTACAATACCTAATGTAAAACATTTGAATACCAATGTGCTATTAAATGGGGAGGAGTTCAGTCTTCTGGATACCACTGTTTTTCTCGGTATTACTTTTGACACGAAACTTCAATGGAGCCCCCATATATCTAAATTAGCAAGCAGACTTAGTTCTGCAGCATATGCTGTAAGAAAGATTAGTGTAGTAGTAGATTAGTGTATTTTAGTTACTTTCATAGCGTAGTGTCTTATGGAATTTTGCTATGGGGTAATGCGACTGATATTGAAGCTATATTTGTTTTACAAAAGAGAGCCGTTCGGGCGATTTATAACCTAACTTGTAAAGAGTTCCTCAGACAAAAATTTAAAGAAATAAACCTATTAACTTTGGCATCGCAATATATTTATGAAAATGTAATGTAAAAATTGTATAAACGAAATAATTGTTAAGTGAAATATGTTTGAAAAAAAAAGTCTCGCTGGGTTTCTTGCTGGTTCTTCCCAGGACAGAGGTATTTCCCGAACCAGTAGTAAATAAAAAATTACTTTCAATAAGAATTATTTAATAATCAATATTGAATAAAAATTATTCTATTCTATTCTATTCTAGTCAGTTTTTACCATCAGTTAAGTGTAATATCCCTCTGCAAGATGCAGAAGCTTGGTTGTGAATGTGGTGTCTCTTATATAGGACAAACTAAAAAATCCATAAAAACCCGCGTTAAAGAATACATAGCTGATGTGAAGAATCGACGCTCCGGGAAGTCTGCAGTCTGTGACCATAGGTGTTGTAAAGTACTAGAAACGTCGGGAAAATAAAATAAGTTAATATACGCGATAAAATCCGTAAAATTAGTTTTATTTAAATGTGGAGTGTTTGCGTAAATATAAGAAATCATTATGAATTAGGCTGGTTGATAGCCGGTCCCATTAATGCGTCATCATATAATAGTAAAATAAAGAAGCACATTATCAATAAATATAATTCATTGTAATCATACACTTACGGATTATGATTCATTAGAAACTGTTGACAATAATTCGACAAAGTTTTGAGACTTAAAAGAAATTCCTGTTGCCTTTTTTTTTGCCTATACTTGATTCGCCTGACTGTTTAGGAGATACCTATGAACTGGCTAAATAATGGTTTATTTCGTCGAGAACAGATGTCCTCTCTGACATATACGCAAACTAGCCCGAGGCACAAAGGAGTGCTCTAATTTGTACCCCGGGTAGGAGAGATACGAAGTATCAGCCGTAGAGGACACCTGCGTCTCGGTCAGAAAGAACACGGCCGGCTTCGCAGTCTCGAGATGGTAGTGGACGGCGTTTAGGTTCGAGTGAAGTCCTCTGATACTGCAAAAATTCACGGATAACGTGGCTGGCGTCGCCTTGGAGAAGCACAGCTTCCACTTCACGCCGGTATTCTGTGAGGTCGTGGTACCAACCCGTGCAACAGCAAAAGTGGCTCTACCACCGTTGAAAATGCATGTGCCTATATTCGATCAATAAACTTTGATGGTAATATGATGGTTCGTTTACAATGCGTTAAATCGAAAGTCGCACCCGTAAAATACACTACGATACCTCGGCTAGAGTTATCGGCAGCTTTACTTGCCGCTAACCTTAGTAAGTCCGTATTAGAATCGCTTAGATATAAGCCTAGCAGAATTGTATACTGGTGTGATTCGAGTGTAGTACTCGCCTGGATCCATAATAATTTAGGCAAATTTCACCTTCTTCCTTCACCTAAAATAGGTCCCCCATTTTAGGAGAAAGAGTTCAAAGAATAAGCGCAGGGTTTCCTTTTAAGTCTGTTGGTCTGGACTTTGCCGGTCCGTTTTATATTTTAAATCACAAAGGTCATGTAAGTCGTCTTATAAAGTGTTATTTGTGTTTATTCGTGTGTTTACGTTACAAATGCATTCAGTTGGAAACTGTATCCGACCTTCCCACAGAGGCATTTATTTTGACTCTTCGTAGATTTATAGCTTGTAGAGCTAAACCACCAGAAATCTTATGGGACAATGGTCGAAATATTGTCGCCGCGGTTAAAGAAGTAGTAGCCTTTTTAAAGATCAACTGTAAACCTGTATCTGATTTTGCAAGTCAGGAAGGCATCAAATTTTCATTTATACAAACTTACGCTCCTCACTTCGGCGGCATTTGGGAAGCTGGTGTCAAATCAGCAAAACACCATTTAAAATGAGTCATGGTAACAGCCATTTAACATTTGAGGAAATATGCACGTTGTTTGCGCAAATAGAGGCGATACTTAATAGTCGTCCTTTGTGTCCCATATCATCTTCTCCTAATCTTACCTCACCTAACCTTCTATCCCTTACTCCAGGGCACTTTATTACATGAAGACCTCTCACTGACTTGCCAGCTCCAAATTACATCAACACCAAGCAAAGCTTACAATATTATGCTCGCCTTGAAAAGCTCCGTCAAGACTTCTGGCAAAGATGGCAAAAGGAATACATATCTGAGCTTCAACAGATATCCAAGTGGACGATTAACACACAAACATTAAAGGTTGACGACTGGGTGTTGCTTCAAGAGAATCACGTCCCTCCACTATGTTGGCGCCAAGGTCGAGTGGTGCGCTTGTTCCCTGGACCGGATTGTATATCAAGGGTTGCGGACATCAGAACAACAAAAGGATGTGTGCGACGACCCCTAGTCAAACTTTGTCCTCTTACTTAATACGAGGAAAGCATTGGTTGAAAGTGTTCTTTCAACGGGCGGGAGGATGTGGAAGCGCCATTCATCGGTGAGAGGACAATATCCGACAATACTTTTAACACTCTTGTAACGTGGCATACTAGCAGTAACAGTCTTGTCAAAGTAAAATATTAAAATAATTAGTTTAAATCATCTTTTATTTGCCACCAAATGTTAAGTAAAGTCACCATTTATGTGTATTATGTGATTTGGATAAATTAAAATTATCCCAATCACGGGTCTATGCGAATAAACCACAGACGATTGATGCAGTAAAAGTCAACGTAAACAGTGTCATCAATGATATCAAGTCCAATTTATGCGATCGAAATTTGGACTTCTCGGATCAGCGTTGCCCAGCGAAACTACGGGGGCCATTTGGCCGATATAATTGTTCTATTTCTATTTGAAGTTTGAGCGGCTTTAACATAAACCCTTTATGTACTCCCCTTGCACTTGCATTAATGTGTATATATCTACAGTTTTATTAATATATGTGAAAGTTTGTCAAGATATTTGAGTATTTGCTACTAAATCGAAAAATAAATGGCTTCGGATTAGGATAAAAATTATCACGCAAATAGACCATGTCCTAGATTAGGTACTACGCGGGATGAGCAAATTACTATGAAGGAATTTCTGCTGTGTTGTGTGTTCTGTTCTCGCGGAGACGTGATAAAAAGCAAGATATTTGAGGATTTGAGCATGAATAAGGAAAAAACTGTAAAGGAAAAATAAGATACGTGTAAAAATAAATAAAATTTAATTTACGAAATACTTACATTCTATAATTTGTACTTTTCTGATAAACTACACTAATCTTAAAATACTATAAACGGTGGAAGCGCAGTTACATCTTTGAGGCGGAAGCCAAAATATTTTATCTTAAAGATAATAACAATATCCTAATTTATCAAATTCAATATCAACCAGAACTTGTCATTCCACATTTCTTATTTGCAACGTCTATTATTTCTAATCTACATATAAATAAAACTTTAAATAAATTTTTCGAAAATAAATACTATAAAATTATACTAATTAAACGTAAGTTTACTTTCTTCCATACGCTATAAGTAAACTATAATTTGTTCTAACACTGACTAATCCATCTATGTTATTGTTAACTTGATCTATGAGTCTCATGTCTCTAACAACACTCACGTAGTCCTCCATGAAGTCATCGTACATGTCACTTGGTATTTTGAACGGATTAACTGCAGTTACTGCTTCTGTAAAATAAAATGAAAAAATCTAAATTATTTGCTAAATAAAGTTAAAGACAAAGGTATAGACTTCTTTTTATTGGACTCAAACTCTTAAGAAAAAAAAAAGAAAAAAAAGAAGATAATAACACTTTAAAAATTAAAAAGTAGATACTTATTGTCTATTTTGTGGTATTTTTTTAAAAAGGTCTAAAAACTACTCTCATTGTAGCTATCTTTTTAGCTGTCAAGAACGCGTGTCGCCTAGTAGTGAGTAATAAAAATGAAAATATATAAATAAAACGCAAACATCCCCCTTATGAGCCAATCTATGGGGAGGCCTATGTTCAGCAGGGGACTTTGATATGCTGTGATGATGATGATGTCTAAATTATTGATGTTTAAGGTAACAATTCAACCATTACATTCTAATTTGAAGAATATTATTTCTGCTTTAACTTATTTACATAAATAAGATATCAGAAAAAAGAGAGAACATTTCAAAAAGCTTACTTAAAAACAATTCATAGCTGAAAATCTGTTAAGATTTGTCAATCTAGGAGATGAGCTATCGTAGACGTATATTATATGCATATACGTCTACGATAACTCATCGTAGTATCGTAGTATTACCTACACTGTAACAGTCGATTTTTTACTATAGTAACTTAAATATATAATTATATTTATAAATTGGCTTCCTACTACAGTGAAACCTGGGTATCTGGGATATCAAGGGACCTAGAACTTTTATCACTTATAGATGCTTTTGATTTATACCCAGTTTCCCAAATAAGCAGGTTAACGTGACAGTTGTTTTATTTATAGAAGGTCCCACTATAAGAGGTCGAAATGTAGTAATGTAAAAGTCAAAAAAAATAAGTGTGGCAGAATTTCGTAAATTGTAAACAAGCGTATCATAACTTGTCTAAACCTGATAAATTGTCTCACTTATACGGGTTATAGAGCTGCAAAGTCCAATTGTTGAGGTGTACATCGAAAAAATCTATGAAATCTAATCTCAGTTAATAAGATTTGAAGGATCAGTATGAAATCACCAAAAATAATTTAAAATTAAAAATTTTGTACAGCCGACTTCAATATAAGTTTAAGAATAACTCAATAATTATTGATCTGACCTTGATCAAATTCATATGGGACCACACGAGAAGTATCAGCTTTCAAATAAAAAAGAATCATCGAAATCGGTTCACCCAGTAAAAAGTTATGAGGTAACACACATAAAAAACATACAGTCGAATTGAGTACCGTGTCCTTTTTGGAAGTCGGCAGAAAAGTGATGGTTATCAAGGAAACGAAATGGTTAAACTACTAACGAAAGTTAAAACAACAACAAATAAATGACAAGTGTAGTGAATTAGGCATGTTTATCTAAGATCAATGACTTATATTGTTGTTGTTACTGTTATTTGTTGCCATGTTAATGTTTTGTATTTTTTTAATAGGTACGGTAGGTAAGAACTTGTTAGATGAAGATACTGTTGCCAATCACTACTAATTTTTGATTTTATTGCGATTACAAATACAATGTTTTAGGTTAACTTACTTTTCACTGCTTCCACGCTGTCATAGACAAACGACCTTTCTTTTCGTCTTACTTCAACATTGCGAAAGCCGATGTTTTCCATCATTACTTTTATCTTTTTCTCTGGTTCCTGAAAGTTATATAGTCAACGGTAAATAAAACTAAATAAAATAGATTAATTGAAGTGAAAACTTCTTAAGCCTCTTTAGCTTCTTTAATTTTTGGTAGGGGAAAAACTTATAGATTCGCGTCACCGATGACCTCAACATGCTCATGACGATTCTTGCGCGTAATACGTCACTGCATGTCTACTACGCGTCGCTAGTTTGGCACAAGCCAGACTAGCGACGCGTACTATAGTAACCTGTGTACACAGGTATCATTGAGTTCTGAGTTCTGTCGCCTGTCCTTATGACTGCCTGACTGTTTTTTTTTAAATCTGTTAATCTTGAGGGTTGGTGTTGCTGAGGAGAAACAACGACAAGGTAGTTTTTCACAGTCCAAACTAATAATTTGTCTATGAGTTTGCATATCTATATGGTCACATTTTATGATTTATTCTGATACCAAAAGTTGATAACGAACATTATACCATAATACCCATAGACATATCATAGATATTTACATCTATCCTCGTTTAAGAATCAAAATACAGATGCGTTGTCATCCCTTCAGAAGTAAAATGGAATGCCTTCCAGTAAACAGGATCTCCGGTTCTCTACACTCACCATAGCAGCTTTTAGCTGTTATTTGACGCTGGTATTCTGTGAGAGCGGGGTTCTTCCCCGGTCGAGCTAATTCAATGGGATCTTAAGTCATAATACAATTGTTAGTTTTAACACGCATTAAATTGAGGTCACTTGACACGGTCAGAGTACTGGGCTATCAGACACGGGTAGGTTAAGATAGTAAAATACCGAAAACTGCTTTCTAAGTAAAAAAGCTACATAGAACTGATTTTTTTTTCTAAAATTGATCTGTGAGTATAGTCGAGGAACTTCTGAAAAAAGTGTTAGGATTAAAATAAAAAAATAGTAGCAGTTATCTTCTTATAGGAAGCTTCCTATAGGAGCTATAGCTCCAAATTTGTATATCAACTTGATATTTTTTAGACGTGAATGTGCTTTTTCTTATGAAGGTAGAATACCCCTGGGTTAGAGATGCAGTGGATAGCTCTCAGCAATATTCTGAAATTTTTACCGTAGTCTTAATCGGCCAGAAGAATATTAACAATAATGAAAAAGTTTTGAAAAAGGATACATCCATATACTATCAGATAGACTGTGTGCTTGTTTTCGTGCTCATGAACGTTAAAGGCTGAGTAAGATGATGAAAAAGAAATTATTCTAAATACTTGTATTCTAAGAAACTGAGGGCGTAACTAACTTGTGTGTCATGATACGGCGAGATGAAGCGGTCAACATCTCTTAGCCAGGCCTTCCATCGGCTGCTCCGAGCTAAGATGCGATACACATCGAACACCGGCATATGTCCAAGGAATATCAATAAGCAGTCACCACCTTCTCTCAGTAGATCATAAATATTCCTGAATGCGCATCTGAAAAGATCAAATTGTATGTACATAATAGATAAGTATAGCCAGTCAGTACTAATATGTATATCAGTAATACGAGTACATATATTAGTGATATATCATTAGTGATATAGTATATATACTTAGGACCATAGTCACTCATAGTCACCTCTTACGACACCCACGGGAAGAAAAAGGTAATTAGATTTCTTACCCTGCCACCCGATTTAGAAAAAAATCCAACACCTAATATCTAAATAGACTAAAAGAATAATAAAATTTTGCTAAACAGACATTTCTTAGAAGAGACATGTATCAAAATTTTCTTCAAAGTCAAAGTTGGTGCACAACTGGTGATGCGGAGCAGCATTATTCATGTAGGAATATGGATCCTATGCTCACCAACCTACCTGTCCAGCGGACTTGCTAAGGGAATATCTTCCAAGAAAGGCTAATTCTAAATGATAACTACAATCAGCAACTGTACAACCGACTTCAATATAAATTATTAGAAATAACTCAAAAACTATTGGTCAGACCTTGATCAAATTTATATGAGAGCACATGAGAAGCACCAGCTTTCAAACAAAAAAAGAATCATCGAAATCGGTTCACCCAGAAAAAAGTTATGAGGTAACACACATAAAAAAAACATACTGTCGAATTGGGTACCGTCTCCTTTTTGATGTCGGTAGAAAAACAATAACTTCGTCTGTTTTACAGATGCACATGAGGTCACTAAATTATCTACATATATGCTTTGTGTGAGGTTGTTGTTAGAGAATCAATAGAGAATTCATCACCTCATATCGACCCATGGGTGTCGCTCACTGCCTCGTCGCTCTAGCGGCCGCTTACGACTACTAACATGAGATCCCGATTTCGAATCCCGAGTCAGGCCAAACTCAGTTATTGAGTTTTGCTGTTCAAGTTAATCTCAGTAACAGTTCGGAGTAAGGAAGTTAGCGGTGTTTCACCCCCGTCGTTTGGAAAGCATGTAAAGCAATTGCTACTGCGTCTGATCTCTCCTCGGTAGTGTTGGATTAAAGTACCATTAGACTATTTTTTTATAGAATAAGGGTGACAAACGAGCACACAGTTCACCTGATGGTAAGTGGTTGCTGTGGCAAATGGACATCTACATCTATATTCCTTTGCGAATTAAAATGCAGATGCTTTCTCAGCGGTGTGGACTAAGATAGAGTGCCTCTTTTCCAGTAAAATGGGTGTCCGGTTCTCTACACTCACCATACGAAACACAGCAACATTAAGCTGCTATTTTACGCTGGTATTCTGTGAGAGTATCGTCCTTCCCCGGTCGAGCCGACCCATTTGTGCTACAACTATACTATTAATATAGCTGCAGCATGGCCCTACCACATATAAATCGATGATGTCCAATACAACATTGGAGCAGTGAGAGTAGAGTTACTGCTCTAAAACTCTCTCAGAAATTAGCCGAGGCTTGAGACACCTGTGGGATGTAGATATATAGGCAATGACAGTAAGAGAATAGACAGTGCACCTGTTGCTTGCACACGCTGTAAGTCTGTCCTGTCTAGACGGCTTGTCTCTGTTGTGACTGTCCGCCGTGACCGAAGTTTGGTCTGGAGCACATTATTATTATTAATTGGTAAATATGGTAAATTCTAGAAAGAACTTATAGCCCCGTATAGGTTACAGTCTAATCTTCTTGTATACCGCTTGTTAATACCCAGATCGGTGACAGAAAGCAACGTCAGCGATACTTCTTTTAAACTTGAAATATATCTGTAAATCCACCATAAATCTGCTTGGTTTTGTAGCAAGTGGACAGTTAGGGGTTGTTAATGGTAATGATGATGCTTTACAAATGAAAGTCAAGGTTTGGAATCGAAGCTGGGGCCCAAGGCTCATGGTATATTAACGTTATCTTCGTGGCCTAACCGCTAAAAAAGACGTATTCTAGCACCGAGGCCATGCTGACATTTAATAAATACTGTCGGAAGCCGTCAAAGCATTCAAAACATTATGGTACCACTGCTGCCGCGAATATTCATTCTATCGCACAGGCGTTTACTGGTCCTAATCGACGCGTAGTATCTCACACTCATGCGAAAGTCAACGACGCAGGGATGATTACAACATACAACCCAAAAACCAATAGTTTTTTATTGGGACTTAATTTGGATCGAACTGGAACTGGAGTCAATGGGTCAAGCACTCCCATCAATAAGCCATGTATTTGTCACGCTTACAGAATAAAACATATACCAATGTAACAAAATGGCAAAAAGATGTTCGATTTATGCTTTTGATTACGCAATTGTAATACGAAACTGTCGACAACTTTAACATAATTTATATATGCATATAAATAAAATTGGAGTGTATGTCTGTAATATTGAAATAACTGGCTTTTATTAAGCTCAGGGGGTTAATTTTAAGATATAAATAATCTATCTGTCCCGGCTAGTCTTCGTAAGGACTGAACCGATTGTGATGAAACTTTACGAACAGAAAGACAGCAATGCCAGAAGAGAAGGGCCTAGGCTATATTTTATCCAAAAACATGAAGATATTATTTTTAAAAAAAAACGGAAAATTATGAAATAATTGGTCAAATAAATGTAAAATAAATATCCCGGCGAAGCCGGGGCGGGTAGCGACCGAGTACTAGCGAGTAAACAATAATTACAGTGACCACTTGTAGACATGACGAATATGTTTGTGAAAATTGTTTTAATAACTACTGTTTTGATGAATAATGATGTAAAAACATTTTGTGACCGTTCTTTTAAAAAATCTAATGCCAAATTTAAATTAATTAATTAAATTATTAAAAAAAGGTTATTTAAATCACCACAAACCGCTGGAATTTTCTTCTGTATCGTGGAGGCGTATATGTACATAAATTTCACATGAAGAATTACTCAGGCACCTGACAGTTATTTGTAGGCCGTACAAACTTGTCTTGTGCAGAAATCGAACTTACGACTTTACGACTAGCAGCGACGCAGCCAAACGCTGGGCCCGTGCGGCTACCAAGTCCTCGACTTATTTAATTGATTTATATTTTATCGATATATTATTGTATATACAGAAGTGTATTTTTTGCAGTTCATCAAAATCACAAAAATATTAGTTTAAATAGTCTTAGGCTAAATAGAAGTATGTAGTAAATTTTATGGAATTTTAGTTGTATTTTTGCTATAGTTTTGGGGATGATTATGTGTATTGGGGCTCTATATATAATTATTTTATTTTAATATTTTATACTAAGCACATTTACTCACTCTTGTCGCTTGATCCAGTGTAAAGTGTAGAAAGAAAACGCGTGGTCGAAACTTGCTCGTAGTTCTGACGGCATTCCACCTTCTATATCCAATACCGTGAAATAGGTCTGACTGTTCCCGTGGTGCTTATTCGCATACTGTACCATTTTTTGGCTTATATCGCAACCGACAAGTTTATAAAAATTATTGGGTATATATCTTCTCAATATATTGGCCGTTACACTACCATCTCCACATCCTATGTCTATCACACGGGCACGGAAATATTTCCATTTAATCTTTTTCGCGTATTCTTCTAAGCATTCTAGAGCATCCCTTTTCTGTAGGGTGTTGCTTTTTCGATATAGTTCGGCGTCGTCATTCATTTCGGCTCTATGCAAGGACCCCTGTGACCCGTAACTCTTTAAAAATATATGTCAGTTATCGAATTTTTTAAATTTGGTGCGTTTTGGGCGCGCGTCTGCTATAGATCGCCGTATTCGACGCGGTTTCGGCGGGCAGTCACGCCAGGAGCGATGTTCGTACGTATTTATATGAGTCACCGACGCATGGCAGTATCGGCTTCTGGGTCGTAACACCTTAAAAATCAGGATAAGCGTATAGGGGATACTCACTTCACCTGAAAATAAAATTATAAAATCTTATGAAATATATTATAGGGCACTGACAACTGAGTATGACATAAATAATGTAATATCATATAATTTGCGGTTTTTCCTGACATGGATAGTTTTATACAACATATTAGTAACTAAATGATTTTCATTGTGAGAAAATTAATCAGTAGTAAGAGTGGTTGCTTAATTCAATTCCTATATTAAAAACATACATACATATACATATATATATATATATATATATATATATATATATATATATATATATATATATATATATATATATATATATATATATATTATAGAATAAGGGTTACATAACAAGCACACAGTCCACCTGATGGTGAGTGGATGCCCATAGACATTTACATTTGTCCTCCACTAGTAATCAAAATGTAGATGCGTTGTCACCCCTGAGGACTAAGAATTGGCTTGTTATCAGTAAAAAGGGCCTCCGGTTCTCTACATTCATCAAAGCACAGAACTATACTGCTGTTTCACGCTGGTACTTTGTGAAAGCTTGGCACTTCCCTATTCGTGCTGCAGCTACACAATTAAAGTTTAAAATGTTATAATAATGTTGGTACTCTCTAACTCTACTCTAACTCTGTTAATCTCTGCGTCTTTTGAAAGGAACGTAAGAAGTTAAAACTACTGAGTCTATGAGTATGTTTGCCCATAGAGCAAAATATAGTTAGCTATGTAAATACACAGTAAGTCCTTAAAGGCTTTGCGCTCATCTCAACATTGCATTGTAAACGATCAAACCAAGTTCGAACCCTATCGGCGTAAGTGAAATAGAAAAGACAATTGCAATTTTCAAGTGGCTATATATCAAGTGCTTGTCGCTAAAAGAAAACTTCGAGAAATTGAAAATATTTCAAAGAAAATGTAATGACTTAAAAATGACGAGTTTATATAGTCGTGAGAAGAAGGTTTTTCAAAAGTAATTCACAGATAGTGTGATTGGTATGGCTAATGAGCCATACCAATCACATTATCTGTATGACCTATGTCAATAATTTCTCGGCTTGCATAAGGGTCTTAAACAAGGTTTTTTAATATATACTGATCCTAATACAATGTGGAAAATATGTTGATATTTAGAATATGTTATGTATAATATATTATTTTAGCAGATTACTTCTCATAGTGATTTCTTATGTTTAAGCGAATGCGACACAACTAATCTTATAGATGCATGCGTATCATGCTATACAATCACTTAATTTTCTAATTTAAAAATCTCGACGGTGTCGATTACCGTAACCATGAGTACTGCAAATATTTCGAATATAAAAAAATAAAATCTGGAAAATAATTTTATTAAACGTAGAGTTGTAAGTAAACGTATATAATAAGCCTTTTGGGAAATCATTAAGAGATAAGAGTAATGGTACCTTAATAATTAATAATGTAATTTTCAAGCATAGATTAAGCAAGTACTTTTTTATTAAAAGGCGTTTACTGTTTTTTTAATAAACAAAAAAGTAAAATAATTTCCTAGCTATGGGAGAGGAAAAATATTAACCATCGCTAGTCTATGTTTACAGCCTCATATGTCCTTTGGCATTCATTCTACAAACATGAATGAAAACCCACAACATCGTATATCCGATCTTTACTGATTTTCTTTTGCGTATTTTGTAACTACAATGTAACTAAAAGATTTTTTACAGCTATCCGAAAATAGATCCAATTATCTGACTCTTGGATCTTCGACGTGTTCATTTGCTTCAATACTCTTTTGTGATGGGTATATAAATCGTTGGCCTTCATCTCATCTATTTTTATTCATCGTGGTATCTAAGTTTTAGCTACTCACAAACTAGAATGTATTCTGGCAGCGCAATACTTAGCTTTTAAATGGCAATAACGTAATAACGTAAAAACGTTTGCATTATGCAACCTTAGATACTCGTAGATGCCATGTGTTAGCGTACGGATTAAAATGTAAAGCCGTTGACATAGAAACAATAAATTTTAAGTAGTTTAAGTTTAATTTAAATAAATAATTAATATTTAGTTATTAAAGTAATTGCTTATTCTTTTATGTGTTGCGTGGTAGGCCAATGCCCGGGACGTTATAGGCATCTAACATTTACTTATTTCTTTACTTGTAGTTTTTTATGAAGCGTGAAATATTTTCTAAGTCAGTTGTTGCGCTGTAACTTTTGGTTAACTACAACTGCACTACTATATAAACTACAATTTGATAAAATAAAATATAAAAATATCTCCAGATTGCTAATATAAAATATATTTCAAAAATGTTAAACAAAAGACGTCATTTTTGAAAAAATGCCAACTTAAGAAAGGATATGTTTCTTGTAAATTTAATAAGCAAGAACTATATACTTTAGCCTATAAGTGTTTGAGTACTTTTTTATAAATTAATGTAATAAAGAATAATTTTATTTATAATTAAGTGGCAGTAAGTAATTTTTATTATTTAAGAAACTTTTTTTACCATGAATTTGTGAAAAAAAGAAGTGAAATTTCAAAAATGTAGGAGTACGTACAAATAATTTAAAAGTTGTTTAAAAAAAACTACTTTGCCTTGCAAAAGAGGCACCTTCTAAGCAAACATGGATTATTATTGTAATGTCATGGACACCGGATGTGAAGTCGCGTGTCAAAAAAAAACGGAAAATGGCGCCATGTTTAACGCTATGGGTTAACGCCTTATACGTTTATAATAAACTATAAACACTATGCTGATTTCTCTATAAGTGATTAAAAACGATCAGTTGCACCACGGTGGCTCGGGACAGTAGCTATTGTATAGCAGAGTATGGGCGAAGCCTATGTTCAGTATTGTGTATATCTTATATGTCTGAAGATATGTTGAAACTTGGACGTTCAAATTGCTTATATTAATCAAATTATAATTAGTTTAAAAACCTCACTAGTGTATCCCAACCGATATCTAGGTCTTAAGATGAACATGGACAAAACAATGATCATATATAACGTCCATGACACACCTATGCCCGGTAGTTGTTGGGATCACTAAGCTCACAGTTGTTAACGAGTATGTTTACCTGGGACAAATAGTACGACTAGGTAAGTCTTATTTCGACCGAGAGATCAATCGACGGATTTATCTCGGCTGGGCAGCGTTCGGGAAATTACGGCACATCTTCTCGTCAGGTATACCTCAAAACTTGAAAACGAGACTGTACAACTAGTGCGTGTTGCCAGTGATGACCTGTGAACCTGAGACGTGGTCCTTCACTGCTAGCCTGATGAGGGAGCTCAAGGTCGCTCAGCGAGCTATGGAGGGGTGATGCTCGGAGTTTTTCTGTGTAATAAACTTAGAAATGTGAGGATATCCGCAGTAGAACCAGAGTGACCGACATAGTCCAACAGATTAGTAAGCTGAAGTGGCAATGTACCGGACATATACCACGAAGAACCGACAACCGATGGGTAAAAAACGTTCTCGAGTGGCGGCCTCGTACCGGCGGACGAAGTGTAGGGCGAAGTAGTTGTGAAGAGTTGTAATGATGAAATGATGAATTAGTTTAAAAATAGTATAAAACTAAAAAGTTACAAACAATAATAAAAAAATTATAATAAAAAGAAACTAAAACTAAAAATAGAAATTGTCATAATTATAGTATTTCTCCCCGTGGTATTGTGCCAAAACGCTAGCTGCATTTCCTCGCTGAATGGCTATACTTAGCCCTTGAGCGAGAAAAGAACCAGCTCTCTTATCACCAGCAGCGGCAACCAGTTCCTTTAAGAACTTCATCGCACGTGGACCCCACGGGCCGATAGTCTCTACAGCAAATGGCACACATATATAGTCATCCATCAAAGAAACATATTCGCGCCAATTACTTAATTCAGCTACCTCTGGTGCCACCCCGGCTCTAAACGAGGTATCCTTGAGATGAGAGGTCTCCAAAGTGTCTACGCAATTGGCTTAATACCGTCGGGTCTCTTGCCTTTGTTTTTAAACATCCCGCAAGGCTCTAAAACGAGGGAACATTTATAGAGACAAGAGCTCATCGGATGACTTCGTTCAAAGAACCGTGACGGGAAAACCTACATCCACTTTTCTTACATAAAAGTCGGTGGTGCCCAAACTCGTCGGCGCTACTACAACAGGAACACTGGTGACAGGTTGACAAATTACCGCTTCTAGACGGATTCCCACAGCGCAGCGATGCGCTTTCTTTCCCCATCAAGTAATCTCGGCACATTGCGATATAAAGCGTGTAACCAGTGACTAGATTCTTTGGTCGAAACGGCTATACAGCAAATATAATAGCTAGGCAGCAAAGGACAGGTCTACTTTATTATTTAAAATTATTGACACAGAAACAAAGAAAGCAGGCAATGCAATGCTAGAAAGATTTCTTACACCAATACCAGTGCCATTGTCATTACCACGAAATTTTATAAGTAAAGTAGCTTGAGTCCAAGCTGTTGTATTTAAAGTTAAATTTAGAATTTTTTCTACAGCTATTTTAAGATTATTATCAATATCTTTTAAAATATCCGTACATTTCCAGAGTGGACTCGTGCGCGTAAGTATGTAAATCTAGGTACAAGAAGGCAATATTTTAAAATAGTACGAGCAATTTGGGGGTTTAAGATATACAATTTATCACCATGGTTTAAAAACTAATCAAATATTGTCATTAAAACGGGTTTAATACTATCGAAAAATAACGGGGCACCTAGCAGATATAGCGATTCCGCACTGACGGTTTTTATTCCTGGAGACATGATTGAAA